AAAATAGAGAAAAAAAAGAAAGTATAAAATGCTTGTTTGTTTTTTGAGACAGGGTTTCTCTGTTTTGCTATGGCTGTCCTGAAACTCACTCTGAAAGACCAGGCTGGCTTTGATCTCACAGAGCTCTGCCTGCCTTTGCCTTCCAAGTGTTGTGATCAAAGGCATGTGCCACCACACACTGCATGTACAAAATGCTTTTAAACATTCCAGAATAGGGAAAAGCAATTGTTTTCTTGGATTGAGTCTGTCTGCTGAGATGGGGAAATGTGGGACTTGTGAGCAATCATACAAGTCAAGGTGGTAAAAGGATAAAGGCATACTTTCCTCTTTGGGTCTATTCTCTGCAATAAACTGTCATTTGTCTTTGGTTCTCAGGTATAGTTTATGATGGCCTTTGCTTTCTGTTTAAATAACACCATGACTCAATAGCATCTTATCAAACATTATTGCCACTAAAGGCATTGCCTTACTGTACACTCAAGTATAGTTTAATGACACCCCAGTATAATACCGCACACTGATGTGCCTTAGTTATGGTTATTTTATTCCTAATTAGCACATTAATTTAGCCTTCTCTACTTCACGTGCACTTGTATTCCTTTTAAAAGTTATTTTCCCCTTTTATTTAAAGTAAATGAGGCATTGTGTGTTTGCATTGTATCTATTAAGCACATAGCTTATGCAGTTCTCATTCATTATACAAAGAGTGACTAGCAAATTGCCTGGCACATTTTTTAAAAATACCTTTATTGAGATATAATTCATATACCATACAATTCTCTCACTTAAAATGTGAGATTCAGCGGCTTTTAGTAGATGCGGAGAATTGTGAAAGCCTCAGCACAAGCAATTTGAGAACATTTCCATTATCCCAAAAAGGAACTCTACACTCCTTAGCCTTCACCACCTCAAACCCACTTCCCGGTCCAAGCAAATACTCATGCATTTTCTCACTCTAGAGAGATGCCTGTTCTAAATCTTTCATGCAAAAGGAATCATACAATGTGTGCGGTTTGGTGACTAACTTCTTTGATGAAGCATAATGTTTTCAGGTCTTATTTATGTTGTAACAGGGATAGGTACTTAGAATGGTTGTTAGTCTTTAATGGGCAACTTGAGAGTCACCCAGCGAAGAGAGTCTCAATGAGGAATTGTCTAGGTCAGATTGGCCTCTGGGCATGTCTATTGAGGATTGTCTTGGATGCCTCAATTGATATGGGGAGACCCAGCATATTGTGAGTGCCAATGACTTCTGGTTTGGAGTCCTGGACTGTATAAGAATAGGAAAAGATAGTAGGCAAGAGGCATGCCTACGTTCATTTCTCTGCTTCTGATTGTGGATGTGATGTGACAAGCTGCCTCAAGCTCCTGTCTTGACTTCCCTGTGATGATGGGCTATAACCTGGAATTGTGAACTAAAATAAAGCCTTGCTTTTCTAAGTTGCTTTTCTAACTTGGACAGTACTTTTTCTTTTTCTTTTTTTTTTAAATCACCAAATAATGGTCTGTTGTACTTTAGTTATCCATTTATCAAATAATGGTCAATTAAGAGATTTCTGCTCTTCATCTATTATAAATGACACTGTTACAAACATTCATGTAAAGTGTCTCTGGAGACAAATGTTTTCATTTCTCTTCCATCCTTCCTTCCTTCTTTCCCTCCTTCCTTCCTTTCCTTCTTTCTTTCTTCAGTTTTTGAGACCGAGTCTGGCTATATAGCCCAAGCTATCCTTGAACTTGCATTGATCCTCTTGCCGTGGCCTCCAGTACTAGGATACAGGAATGCACCACTGATCTTAGCCTTGTTTTTATTGCTCTTAAATGAAATGCCTAGGAATAGAGTTGCTGGCTTCTACAGCACTTCCATGTTTAACTATTTAAGAAACTCTTTTATTTTGTTTTGATGAGTGGCTGCATGTGTCATTTTATATACTCATTAGCAGTGTACAATACTTCAAATTTCTTCACACCCTCAACAACACTTTTCAGTATATATAAATACACACACACACACACACACACACACACACACGTGTGTTTTAAATGGGAATACATTGATAGATTAATACAAGGTTAAGAACAAATATTCTGATTTGTAGGCTTTTCTAGGACTCAATTGGCAATTGTAGATTGCCAACCATAACTCCAGTTCCAGGGGTTTGATGCCCTCTTCTGACCTCTGCAAGCACTGAGCACACACATGGTACACCTGTATAAATGCAGACCAAAACACCCATCAAATAAGAAAATTAATAAATCTAATTTTAAAAAGAGGCATGTGTTGAATAATGCATGATAAATGGCAATGATTATTAGGAGGAATGGATGATGGAGTATCTTTTCGGTGGGGTGGGGAGTACTGGCATTAAACCCGGAGCATTGTAGTGTCAGGCAAGCGTTCCACCACTGAGCTCTTTTTACTTAGTTAATACAGTTCCTACATGTGCCGATGTGTTCCTCTTTTGCCATGCACTGGCTATGGAGCAACATGCTCTTTTCAAAGACTTGAGGTGTATTATTACAGCCTTTTGATCCCACAGAAGCACTGGTACAAATGCCACTTGGCTTCATTCTGCACCAAGCAACAGGAAAGCAATTTGAGATCGGCACACGTTGGGCAGCCAGGATGGTGGTGGCTTTTGAAAGGACGTTGCTTAGTAGCGTGAGAGGGCTGAGACTTGGCTGGATGGTGTTAGGGGCGGGTCCAGTCAGAATCCTATGAACTCTAGGGTCACAGAACACACAGACACCTCACAAGCTACCTGGTCTGGTCCCTCCTACACTGGAAACTTGTCTCCAGTAGGACCCTAAGAGATGGCACCTCCTGAGACAGTCCTGGTGATGGGAACCTTTTTCCTATGGGGGATTCTGTTTCACTCCTGGAAGCCTCTGGTCCCACCAGGTATGGCGGTGCTTATCTATAATTCCAGCATTCTGCAAGTTGAGACGAGAGGATTGTGAGTTCAAGGGATACACAGAGAGACTGTAGAAGAACAAAACAAAACAAAAAACAACAGGTGTGGTGGTTCGAGCCTGTAACTCCAGCACTTGAGAGGTGGAAGTGGGAGAATCATGAGTTCCAAGTCATCGTCAGCTGCGTAATGAGTTCCAGGCTAGCCTGGACTACATGAGACTCTGTTTCAAACAAAAAAGAACTTCTGGTCCTTACAGCATTCTGCCTTATTCTGAGATTTACAGAGTGCTCTTGGATTTACCTTTCCCAGAACTTTTGTTCCAACCACAGCATTGTCAGGAAAGCAATTTGTGTGGAAGAGAAATCATTAAAACGGCCACTTACGATGTTCAGTGTCCTGCAAAATGACAGAAGCCAGCTCCCAAAACCGTCGTACACCAACCACTCCCACACATTAAATCTATGGAAATTAAAGGTGCTGAAAGCGAGCGTTTCCCTGTGCATCTAAATTCCGTGAAGTATAGAGGAGTCCAGACAGTCAGGCAAACTCTCTGATTTATCTGTTTGTTGAGCAGATGACCTTGAACTTTGGGTCCTCCGGCCTCTACCTCCTGAGTGCTGGTATTATAGGTGTGTGCACCCATGTCTGGTTTATGAGATGCTGGGGACAGAATTTGGCAGCTTCCTGAATGTCTTAGTTTGCTTTCTATTCTTGTCATGAAAATCATGACCAAAAGCAGCCTGGGGAGGAAAGGGGCTGTTTGGCTTTCATATTCCAGGTCATAGTACACTGAAGGAGGCCAGATCAGACACTAAAGGCAAGAACCTGGAAGCAGAAACAGTGGAGGGATGTTGCTTCCTGGCTTAGTCAGCCTGCTATCTTATACAACCCAGGACCGTCTGCCCAGGGGTGGACACCACCCACAGTAGGCTGGGTCCTTCCACATAAATCATCAATCAAGGGCTGGAGAGATGGCTCAGCGGTGAAGAGCACTGACTGCTCTTCCAGAGGATCTGGGTTCAATTCCCAGCACCCACACTGCAGATCACAACTGTCTGTAACTCCAAGATCTGACACCACCACACAGACACACATACAGGCAAAAAGAACGATGCACATAAAATTTTAAAAATTAAAAAAAAAAAATCATCAATCAAGAAAATGCTCCCACCAGGCTTGCTTACAGGCCGGGAAGCAACTTGTGAATTAGCCAGCTCACTAGGCAAGTGCTCACTACCTGAAGAGTCACATCTCCAGTCCTCTGACTATCGAGAGAACGGTTCGTAAGCTGCATTGCTCATCGCTAGGATTTACTTAGGATTAAATTTCACAACTGTGGTGAAAATAAGTATTCACCAGCATGTGCCTTTATGCGTGCTATTTCCTCTGCCTCCCAGGCTTGACCCTGTCTTTCCCTATCAGTTACGTCCAAACTCTTGGTCATGTTATATCCCGATTTCCCCTGTTAAAAGTTCACTCTCTCATTTATTCATTTATTTATTTATTTATTTGTTTGTTTGTTTGTTTATGTTTGAGACAGGGTTTCTCTGTGTAGCCCTAGCTGTCCTGGAACTCACTCTGTAGACCAGGCTGACCTAAAACTCACGGAGATCCTCCTGCCTCTGCCTCCTGAGTGCTGGGATTAAAGGTGTGTGCCATGACCAGCTCTTTCCCTTTCCTTTTGACACGGAGTTGCATTAGTTAGCTCAAACTGGCCTAAAAAACCCACAATTCCTTCTCCCTCAGACTCCCAAGTACAGGGATTACATCCCTGCCTCATCTGTCCGTCTCTTGATATTACTTCATGTTTAAAGTCATTTGTGTCCTTGTTTCTCTGATTAAGAAGAAAACTTTTTAGAGGAGATTTAGGGGCTGGGCACAGTGACATATGCCCTTAATCTCAGTACTGGGGAGGCAGAGGCAGGTGGATCTCTGTGAATTTGAGGTCTGCCTGGTCTATATAGCAAGTTCTAGGATAGCCAAGACTACATAGAAAGAGACTGTCTCAAAACAAACAAACAAAAAATGATATCTAGGGGTTGGGGGTAATGTAGCCCAGTGGGGAGAGTACTCACCTAGCATGCAGGAAAGCCTGGCTTCAACATCTAACACTGCATAAGCCAGGTGGGATGATGGACATTCTCTTACTTGGGAGGTGAGGACGGGAGTTCTTGGCTACACAGTGAGCCTGGACTATATGAGACCCTGAGAGAAGGAAGAAAAGGTCTAAGTATGTATGCTTGTATGAGAAAGAGAGAGAGAGAAAGACCAGATCTAGATATGTAGGTTTGGACATGTTCATGTCCTTTGAAAAATGTAATGCTTTAATGTTTGACATGGCATACAGTAAGTGTTTAATAAATATGCATTGAATAAGCCAATTACACATAGATGACTACTCCATATTTCCTGAGGCTTTGGAGTGGGCACTGAGATTGAACCCAAGGACCTACGCAGGCTTGACAAGATGTCTACCACTGAACTATAGCCTCAGCTTTTTTCACTTTTTATTTTGATACAAGGCCTCACCAAGTTGTTCAGGCTGGACTTGAACCCTTTATGTGGCCCAGGCAGGCGTTGAAGGGAATCCTTCTGCTTCAGACTGCTGAATCACTAGGATTATAGGCCTGGGTCACTATACCCTGAAATTTTATTATATTATTTTATTATAGGTTTTAAAGAGATGTACGTTTGATATTTTAAAAAAAAAATTATGTGTATGTGAGCGTAGGGGTATATGCACATGAGTGCAGTGTCATGGAGACCTGAACATTGAATACTCTGGAGATGGAGTTATAGGCAATTGTGAGCCACCCTAAGTAGGCACTAGAAATTGAACTTGGGTCCTTATGCTCCTAAATAGTGAGTCTTCTCTCCAACCACTGCAATTATATTTTTAAATCTAGTTTCTATATATCTAATGTGAAGTTTAAAGGACTATTCCCTAAGATTTCTTATGGACCTGGATTTAGTAGTCATCATGTAAAAAACTCTGAACAGTTATTATTGAAAACATTGAAAAATTACACTTGTTTATCACGTACTTGTGGGTGTGCATATGTGTGTGGGCGCGTGTGTCTTAGTATACACGTTGGGGGGGGGCAGAAGACAACGTGCGGCTCTCATGAGGGTCAAAGGGATCGAACTCAGGTCTTCAGGCATGGGAGCAAGTGTCTTTACCCACTGAGCCATCTGATAGGCCCAACAGCATATGGTTTGAGGTCAGACAGACATGAAAACGTAACCCACACTTACCTGGTTGCTTGTTTCTGCCTGAACTGGATATTCTTGAAGCATATGACTTGGACAAATCAGGTCTAGAAGGCATTTGTAACTTCCCTATGGTAATAAGTAGAAAAACGACATTACTATATACATTCTAATCCATTGCATAGTGCTTTTTTTTCCTTACCTATTTTTCCTTATTTAGCTATCTTGTCAGTCTTTTAGGCAGGACTAGCATTTTTATCTTAATTAGACAATTATACATCATGACACACTAATTTGTTAACCTATGTTCACAAATCATTTAATTACCACCGCTGGCTTTGATGTGTTGTTATTATTCAGTTATGGGAGTAAACAATTCAACAGCTAACAGGAGGAAACTCATTATTTTTGGAGATATATTGTTATTTTCAATGTTTTAAAAACACTTTAATCAAAACTTAAAAAATACTTTAATCAAGACTGAAAAAAAAACCCCACATCGTTCTTCTAATAGCAGTTTTAATGTGGGCAGTTATTTGGGCATATCTAACTCTCCATTTCACATTTCACATTCTTATTCTTTTCACAATAAATAGGATTCCTATGTGATATACATGTGTGTTTGCATATGGATACACATGTGTAGAGAGACCAGAGGTCCATGTCTGGTGTCTTCCTCAAATGCTTCTTCTTTTTTTTTTTTTTTTCTTTTTTCTTGGTTTTTCGAGACAGGGTTTCTCTGTGTAGTTTTGATGCCTGTCCTGGATCGCTCTCTGTAGAGATGCGCCTGGTTCTGCCTCCCAAGTGCTGGGATTAAAGGCGTGTGCCACCGCTGCCCAGCTTCTCAATTGCTCCTTTGCAATGTATTTTTGAGACTGGATCTCCCATGGAACCGAGAGCTCATCTATTGACTAGGCTAAACTAGCTGAGCTCCGGGGATCCTCCTGTCTCGACCTCTTTAGCGCTGGGACTACAGGTGTGGCACAGCCCCTGGTTTTTCATATGCTGAGTATCCAAACATAGGTCCTGATGCTGGCACAGCAAGCCTTTTACAGCCTGAACCATCTCCCTAGCCCTCGAATACGGTTCTGAAAGAGAGAGAGAGAGAGAGAGAGAGAGAGAGAGAGAGAGAGAGAGAAAGAAAGAAAAGGATAATTTTAAATCTTCATGTCAATTTCTTCTCTCCTATGATGATGATATAATTTATAAAATTCGGCTTCTGATGTTGACTGATGAACTGGAAAATGTGACTCAGAGAATAAAGACACTTGCTGCCAGGCCTAGTGACCTGAGTTTGACCCCCAGGATCCATAAGGTAGAAGGAGAGAACCGACCCCTAAAGGTTGTCCTCTGACTTCCATACCTATGCTGAGATTGCTCACGCGCCCCTTCCCCTCCCCCAACAAGGTACCTTGACTGATGAAGCTCTTGGCTGACTAGAGATGAGAGGGGCAATCTCCTTCTCATCTGCTGAGGTTAACATACCCTGGCTCAGATTTCCTTGACCTTCTAGAACTCTCCGTTCTAGTTGGTGAGTGCCCCAGGCCACAGTGGCGTCCCTCAAACTGTAGGTCCTTTTGAGTTCTTCACTTGGGTCTTTGATGAAGAAAACCAAGCCTCCAGGTGCAAATTCCCAGCAGGTTCACGGCGAACTGTTCCTGCCGGTAGTTTGCGTGAAGACTGATAATATCATTATGCACTGGTGTGCAAACATCAAGATTGCTGGAGGGAATTAAATCCCTGCCTTCCCTGCACACCCCCACCAATAGGGAACTATTGAGGTTATTTTTTTGAGAATGACAGAGCCTTTCTCGTCCCTTGGTGAGCTTGGTTTTGGGGGGAGCTAGGATACTGGAAAGTTGTCATCCACTAAAGTTACTCCAAGCGAGTGGTGGTCAGGTTCTTGTCTCTCTCGTGAATTCAAAGGATGAAGTTTACAAACCATGGAGGGTGAGTTTCAGAGAGAAGTTTATTATGGATTCATCAGTGTCTTAAGCGGGAGGGAAGGAGGAAGAGAAGAGAGAGAGAGTGTGTGAAAACTTACTTTTTGGAATGTCTTGTATACAACAAAACTTCTGACATGGCAGTTGTAAAGTTTCTGCTTTTATGTTGTTTAGCCATTTATTGTTATGTGCTGTCTTCAAGGGCAAAGATATCTTCCTTTGTGTCTCTCTTTCTGGGTCTCTGATTCCCCTCCATTCCACTCCACCCTCCTCCCAGCCCCGCTCTCTGAATTGACCCCAGGTCTTCATCCACGCTAGGCAAGCAATCTACCACTGCGCCACAGCCCCACCCTAGCAATCGTCTTTTCCATCTTTCCTCTCAGTCTTAGCGCGGCCCCTTTCGTCCTTTAATAGAGGTCTGTGGAAGGAATCGGTAAAGGGATAACGTGAAGTTACTGTACCGTAGTTAGGAGAATGTTTTAGTTCCTTTCTTTTGTGCAGCCCTTATCTCGTTTCCTTACGGTCCTGCTGAGCGAGCGGTCTGTCCTCCCTGCTCACTTGGGCCTTCCTCGGTGGCAGGGCTGTGTGTGCCTTAGTCATTGTGTGGCCAAGTGCTTCGCACAGTCCGGGGTATGATGTAGGCATCCATCCACGTGTGCTGACTTGAAAGTATGTGAATAACATTCATTGTGTGGCTGAGCTCCCCGTTGGTTCTTTTCATAGGATTTTTTTTTTTTCTCATTAACAAGAGGACCCATTGTCTTTGCTGAGCATAGGAAAGTGAAGGAATGCCTTGTTTCCCATGGCCATGAAATCTGCGATCTGTGGGAAGTTGTACGGAGTAGGCACGGTGGGTCCTTTCCCAGCCTGGACCACCAGGCCCTCTTCCCTCACCCATATACTTTCAGACAAGGACTCTGTGGTAGGAATTCATATCAAGGTGTTGATTAGCTATTAAAATGAGGATGCCCTAGACTCCTTGTATGTGCTACTTTTAACTAGGGGATCTGTCTTTCTTGGGAGGGGACCGTTTTACTCTGCTTCAAGGCGGAGTTCACATCTCCACAATTCAAGTCTTATTTCTAGACATCACGTCAAGAGAAAGTGCCAACTCATTGCCTCTGGCTGCCAGGATCTGCTTGCTGGACTTCCATCCCATCTTCATAGTTATCTTTACTTCGTAGAGAAATCAATTCCCCCAAAGAAATGCTTCTTAGAAACGTAAACAAGGGATGATGGTGTGTGTCTCTATACCCAGCACTCGGGAGGTAGAGCCAGGGGGATCAGGAGTTCAAGGCTGTCCTTGGCTACATAACAAGCTTGAGACCAGCCTAGGCTACATGATACTCCGTCTCAAGGAAAGAAAAAGAAAGAAAAGTATCTCTCCAGTTGGACATGTAATTCTAGAACTCAAGAGGCAAAAACAATAATATGTTAAATGTAAGGCCATCCTGGACTATATAGTGAGTTGGAGACTAGCCTGGACTACATAGGGAAACTATATCTCATAAAATCAAAGCAGTATCCTGTTGCCAAAAGAGGATTCTAAACTGGGCAGTGGTGGCCCATGCCTTTAATCCCAGCACTTGGGAGGCAGAGGCAGGCAGATCTCTGTGAGTTCGAGGCCAGCCTGGTCTACAGAGTGAGTTCCAGGACAGACTCCGAAGCTCATCTTGTTCCTTCCCTTTCCCCATGAATATAATGTGACCAGAGTGCTCTCCCATATACTTTATCTAAGACTGGTTCCTTAAGTACCAGGCCTCTTCAAGTCTATCTGCTTTTGATTGACACCCCCCTGCACCTTTCCTGAGACAAGATGTCATACAGCCTAGGCTAGCCTCAAACTTGCTATGGAGCTGAGTCTGGCCTTGAACTCCTGATGTTCCTACCTCTACCTACCAAGTGCTGGGATTACAGGATTATTGGATTACAGGCATGCACTGCTACACTTGACTTTGCTGTCTATGGTGGTCTGAATGAGAAATGTCCCCCATGGGTTTGGGTCATTGAAGACTTGGCCCCCTACCCCAGTTGGTGGCACTGTTTGGGAGGTTTAGGAACTGCAAGCTTGCTGTAGGAAATATGTCACTGGAGGGAGCGGGGGGGGGGGGGGGGGGTTGAGACTTTAAAGCCCTAAGGCCACTTCTAATTCACTTTCTCTGCTTTGAGCTTACCATTTGTAGGTGAGAGCTCTCAGCTTCTTGCTCTGGCTGCCATGCTGGCGACCACTGCCATACCTGTCACTTGCTGTCACGCCTCCCTGCCATGATGGACTTTACCCTTCTGGAACCATAAGCCAAGATAAATTCTTCATGCCCCCAAAGGTTGCTTTTGGTCATAGTGTTTTGCCACAGAAACAGAGCTGAAATCTCCACTAGACCAGTGTGCCTTGAACTTGCTTTTCATGCTAGCAGGGAGAAATGAGCTCATGTACCGAACCTAGGTCCCGTCACTTCAGATGGTGACATGAACATCATCCCTTTTTTCTAGCCCTGGCTTTCCCCCACATACTCTTTTCCTCTGGGTAAACCATTTCCATACTCTGAGCCTCTGTTTCCCTATCTTGGCAATATCTATCTAAAAATCACTGCCGTATCTAAACATTGCATAGTTCAAGTTCAATTTGAAATGCCAATTTTAGGTTTTATGTTTAAGAAAGACCTCAACTGAAAACTAAACTAAAACCTCAGCTAGAAGGTCAGTAGGGACACAAGGCCACTTTCCACCTGTGAGTCTTTCATTCATCATTATCTTCCTTGATTATCTTCCATTTGGTGCAGGCCCTGGGCTGATGGAACCATCCAGCTGCGTAGCTCTGGCTCTTCTGGGTGATCAGGAAATACAGGAAGAGGCAAATCCCAGCTGAGGCAGACGGAAGTCTTAATTAATGCAGAAGTGGCTGCTGGCAGGACATCAAAGGCCTTGTCCAGGTTTGTTGAGTGTAGCTGGAGGCCATGGATAGAGGCAGGAAAGGTGCAGGATACAGGGGACAGGGGACAGTGGCCACTGCCATATGCTTGATTCAAGAATGTGGTAACTAGAACATCTTGTCCTTGTTAATGAAGCATGGAGAACTGGTTTTTTTTTTGTTTTTTGTTTTTTTTTTTTTTTTTTTTTTTGTGTGTGTGTGTGTGTGTGTGTGTGTGTGTGTGTGTGTATGTGTGTGAAAGCAGAATTAGTTATAATAGATGAACTTGGACATGTTGTCTTTTCAGAATGAGGGGTTAAAAATGACTGGAAAAGGAAACTGGGGTGCTAGCCAGCTTTGGGAAAGGGGACCAGAGCTAGGATTCACCTAACTTCCTGGAACAACTATCCCAGAATTGGAGTTCTGACACAAGGCTGTTAAGATGTAATAAAACATCCATACCTTCCCAGATGGTGACCCAGGTTGGCCTTGAACTTGTGACTGAGGGTGGTCTTGAATTTCTGATCCTTCTGCCTTCACCTCTTGTATACTGGGATCAGAGACACCCACTACCATGTCTCCTTTATGTGGTGCTGGGGATGGTACCTAGGGCTTCCTGACAGCTGGACAGGCATTGTACTGACTCAGCTTCATTCCTAGCCACCAGATGAATTGCTCTTAACGTGTCTCAGAGGCATGTCATAGCCATTCCTGGGAAGCTCACAGCCACACTCTCCACTGTGTGAAGTGACTTCCTAAGGGCGACTTCAGAAAGTGAAGTGTAAACAGGAACGTGCTTTCAACAGCCAAATGCAGTGGAAGAAAGGATTGAAAGAGGAAACGAGAGAGAGAGAGAGAGAGAGAGAGAGAGAGAGAGAGAGAGAGAGAGAGAGAGAGAAGTTTTTGAGTGACAGTGTCTTACTCTGTAGTCAGGCCTTTTTTTTTTTTTAACCTCAAGATCCTCCTGCCTGTCTTCAGAATCCTGGGATTACAGGCTTGTCCTACTACACTTGGCTCAATCCTTGCTTCTAATCAGAATGTCTCAGCCACTTCTCCTTTCTTCCTTCTACTTTGCTCTTTCCTTTATCTATTAGTGTGTATGTGTACGTGCACAGATACACAGCACATGCACGGAGGTCGGATAAGGACACCAGGGGATCGAACTCAGGTTGTCAGGCTTGGCAGCAAGCACCTTTACCTGCTGAGTCGTCTCGCCCCCTCGAAACCATTTCTTTATTACACCAATCTATCTATAAATCTATTACTCGAGTCTATCTATAAATGAATAGGCTTACACAAACTAAGATGCTCTCTAAGGGTTAACTGAATTCCTAACTCTGACAAAAGAGATGCATTGCCCACATTATTATGGAAGGAAAAGCATTTGACTATTTTTATGCCATTACCTAAATGAGACCAAAAAACAAAAACAAAACAAGACAAAAAAAACCCTCACTTTGGTATCATGGTTTGAAAGTTGACAACTTTCAACATTAATGAACACTAGACATGATAGCGTGTTCAAAGGAGGAGACATCTTCCGACCACCTCTTTTGACCTTTAGGCATGCACATGGTGCACAGACATACATGAAGGAAAAACACCCATATACATAAAAATTCAAGCTCTTCCAGAGGACCCGAGTTCAATTCTCAAAGGGTCAGACAGGAGATTGCAAGTTAGAGGGTAGCCTGAGTTATGTAATGAGTTCAAGGCCAGCCTGATCAGATTGATATCTAATCTTAAAACAAACAAACAAACAAACAAAAAACAACAAAAAAGCAAAAACAAGACAAACAACAGCAACAACAAAAACTAGGGCTGTAAATGTAGCAGAGTAGTTAACACCAAGAATCTACCAGTGAGAAGCTGGGGATATGACTCAGTAGTAGAGCATGTGCTTAGAATTCCCAAGAAGGACTCTGGGTGTGGCTCATCAGTAGAGTGCTTGCCTAGAATCCCCCACTGAGGGGCTGGAGACATGGCTAAGTGGTAGAGCACCTGCCTAGAATCCCCCAGTGAGGGGCTGGGGTGTGACTCAGTGGTAGAGCCCCTGCCTAGAATCCCCCAGTGAGGGGCTGGGGTGTGGTTCAGTGGTAGAGCCCCTGCCTAGAATCCCCCAGTGAGGGGCTGGGGTGTGGCTCAGTGGTAGAGCACCTGCCTAGAACTCCCCATGAGGGGCTGTATGTATGACTCGGCAGTAGTGTGCCTATCTAGAATCCCCCAGTGAGGGGCCAAGAGTGTGGCTCAGTGGTAGAACATGTATGGGCACAGGACCATTGGTTTTATTTCTAGCATTGCAAATCCAGCCCAACTAAATAACATGGAACGCAGACCACGGATCTTATCAGACAGCTTATGTCAAGAGTGATGATGGTACAGTTCAGACAGTTCAGATAGCTCTTGTGATGGACAGTTTTCCTGGCTGATTCTGTCTACAAGACACGGATCAGTAGAGCCTTGAGATAATTCCCCTGACTACGCAGTATTCACAGTAGATATTTCAAGTGGAAAAAAAAAAACAACCAAAAAAACGAAACCAAAAAACCCTCTAAAACCTATCTGGAGATATCTGGAGATAAGTCTCAACCCCTGAGATTACCCACATTCTCCTGTCAATCTGTAAGCATACGTAACCTGTAAGGGTCTCTCTCTCCATCTATGG